ATTATTAAATATGATTGGATACTTACCAAAATATGACCGTACTATTTCGGTGTCAACAGTTACAAGTTTGGAGTATGGCGACATTGATATTGCAGATTTCCGAAATTTATTTGTGTTGCAGACTGAAACGCTGGGAAAAGGTAAACCTTGAGTTGTGACGACCTTTATCTGCGAACAGAAACATGTTGACAAAGATGAACTTTATTAAATTAAACAAATAATGAAACTTCATATTTGAAAACAAATAGATCACTTTATTGTCAACTGTTTACTAATTAGAATTGTCAATCAAAACCGATTCTCGATTGGATGATGAGATGCATACGTCAACATCCCGGATCAATGTGTAAAAGTCAATGCATAAACAGTATGCCATTGTGAGTAAAATCTGTATTGTGGTTTATGAAAGCACATGTGGTTTAATCAATATATACAAAAAGTATGAATACCATATATATGGGGCATTATTGTCACGGGTATGTACGTGGCTTCAGGTACATATGTTCAACACATTGCTTGACTTTACATGTGTCCCAACACCAATGTATACTATTTGAAACTCTTCAAATCTATGCCTTACCCTGACGTTAACATCTCTCGCAAGATATTGTACGACCAATTCTTCTATTTGCCACACTGAAGCCGCCATGGCAAGGATGAAAGCTACAGTCCAAAATGAAGATACTATAGTCCCCCTTCCTTCGAATATACGTGGCAGACCAGCGACTGAGGTGCTTCTCATGAAGGCATCAGTAATCTTCTTCACACTGTTGTTAAAATCGGGTTCCAATACTGCCATACTGCTCGGTGCGGCGTCTTTTTTGTCTTCTTCTGTTGAGGTCATTTGTGCTTGCTTCCTGGTCATGACGATGCTGGGCACGTCCGCTTTTTAAAACACATGTGACGCACAAATGCGTTTATGAGACTGAAATATGTTATATACAACAGCCAATCAGGGGTCTACCACTAGAAAATCTGGAGAAGGAGTACTGTGCAAACATATTTTACTACACCTAGTTTTCGAGCCACACTTTTTGTGAGATTGTTTTCATAAATATACTTGTTTTTGTAAATTTCCCTGTAGAATATTGTTTTAAAATTTACTCAAAACACATAATTCTTGTCTTGTCAAGCCCCCAACTTTTTATTGCTGAAATATTTGTCCTAGCCAAACAGTAATATAATTAGTCATAAGCTATTTTTGATTTACAATTTAGATAATTGTTTGAAACATAATAATATGGTATTAACTATTTCAGCATAATTGGACAATTGGTAATTTCGGTAAATAATTACTGGTCACATCATATTACTTAATAACTCGTTTAATAAGTTTTTTTTAAATTCGAATTCGAACAAATAATCTACTGTTTATCAATACTGTGTATCTTGCATAGTGTCTCAGGCAGCATGTTTGTCATAACAACAACATGAATTAGTAAATAACGATTTAAAATATTGATTTTACATACTATTGCTAGAAGTATTGGTAAATAACCGATGTACGAATAAATCAGGTTGGCTGACATGGTAGATATATTTGTGTGAGTTCTAAACACAACAAACAATGTTTGCACGCAGTTTGGTGAAGTGTCATACAATTGAATAATTGAATTGCTGGCGAAAGTCTGTTGAATCTTTATAATTATTTGATTGCTAAAATGTCTTGGCATTCACAGATTTTCTTAGCCGTATTCATACTCGCTCTTCTATATTTTGTATCAGGTCTATTCACAGGGAAAGGATACGTCACAGAACGTTCTATGTTGCTATGTCACGCACCACTATATCATGTATTTTGAAGGGTTCTGTGTAAAATGCTGTGGAACTTTGGTCAAAGAGTCGGTGAAAAAAGCCAACAGTCGAAGAAACAGCACAAACTTAACTTTGAAGTAATCCTGGCCAACGAAATTGATATATATGTTGCGGTCCTGGTTATCATCATGGTTGGTTGCCAGAATACATCGCCTAGGAAAACATTCAAAAATAAATTGATGTCGCTAAACCTACTAAAATTAGACATTCGACATTTTAATTACTGGCCAGTCATATTGACAATTATATTGCTTCTAGGATGTATGCCATCTACTTGATACTCCCCCCCACATATTTAATCTAAACCGCGTGCCTCACATGCATTTCTCACTTCGCTGATTATTGCTGATGTATAATATAGTATAACATTGATCGTCATCAATGGCACACATGAGATGTGTTTCGAACTTGTCTAATACACAAAACAATAAATCAGGAAACAACAAATTTAATATTTACTTTTATTTACATTTATTTCTCCATAAAATCTATATTGACATTGTCAGTGATACAAGTGTAAATACAATACATATGTATTAGAGGCCTACAATATGATGCAGAGTAAGAAAGATAAGATGAAACAATATCTGCAACATTATTTGTACTCCAGCCCAAAACACCAGTAGGTAAAAACCACATTCTATACATGTGATTTAGAGGCATTAGTTTGAATTAATGAAACTTTCAAATTGACAGGAATAAAATAAGCTTTTGAGTATTCCTGAGGGATATTGTGATTGAATTGTGTTCAAACATACTAGTACTGGGCGTCATCCATACGCTGAACAGATGTTGTGGATCCCTATGAATGTGGTGTTTGGAATTTGAATATTTACCTTTGAGCCACTGGGCAATGTGTTAAATTTGGTATCTTTTGAGATTTATTATGGTACATGTGTTTAAACGTGGTAGTAGTCAGACAAAGGAATCAATCTTCAGTGACATGCCATATTGGTCAGTCTCTGTTTTCCTGTGGGCACAAACAGGTGCAATCTCTGATGGGATGTGTGGAACTACCAAAAGGGGACAGTCCGTAGCGGGATCTATGTGGGTACAAAAAGATAGTGCTTGGTTTAAGCTTTGATTGCACCAAAGACGTAGTTCCTGACTCGGGTAAACGTCCACAATAGTATAATTTTAATGTGCACTTTTCAAATAAAATAAGAAACTAAATATGAATATGTTTGAAATTGATTATATTTAAACAAATAATCAAGCAAATTAAAAGCGCATTGAACTATTTACAAGTATAATTCATGGTTAAAAAGCATATCAAATACCAGTAACAATAACGATGTGAAACGGACTTAAATGTCCAGATTTGAAATGATTGGATTGGCTGGACGAGGGTGATCAGTGCATATATTTTACGGAGTATTCCTTGTGCATTTTATGTTATTTTGACGATTATGGCAACCTTTTTTGTTATCAACATCTTGCACACAATTTGTTTTTTCTCAGTGTCTAGTTTCAATTTGTTTTAACAAATCTTTCAGTCATTCTCCGTGATTTAATTTTTTTAATCGTGACTTACATTGGATATGTCTAACACCACATTATTGGTGAACATGACATAGAAATAAAATTACCGCGTGTGAGTTGAATTTGTTATTCTATGCTATGAAAGAATTCATCATCATATATTTAAGCGCTGGCAGAGGAAATGTCATTCGGCGTAATGAAGATATTGCATGATTTCTAGAAACTGCTGTGAATACATGATCAGCGGTGGTTCCGCCACAGAAAGCCAATGAGTTATCAGAGATTTCTGGTTTATAGGCCCACAGTTGATAGAAACGATTCACTGTCTCATATATGGATAAAAATGGTTTACCTGGTGGTGTAGACAAACGTATTGTAGATGCTGCTATGAATCTAATTAAACATGTTGCATGCACTATGTCACAATTAGTTTACAGAAACTGTAAATGCAAATAGTCAATGTACACCATTCACTGTGTATCCTCACACTGCCTGACTTACTGTGTTTCACACATTGCCCGACGGGTCGTGTTTCTTAATGCTCTTCGCTGTTTCATTATTTTATCATTAAATTGTATTAATTTCACCACTGTTTCATTATTTAATTATTATATTGTATTTATTTTGCGATTGTTTTTATTATTTCATTATCATGTTGTATTTATTTTACCCTTGTTTTATTATTAGTCTTGAGTGCACTGATGTAATCACAATGCATGTACCGCCCACAAGCCTATTGCTTTTGATCTGCTTATTTTTATTTTTATAATTCGGTTTTGGTGTAATTCTAAAACCATATTAAGTACCTTTAGCAATTATTTATGGGAATGTGTGGTGATACAACGTGGAGATTCCTCATATTTGTGTGATGATGATAAGATTAGTTTTCCACCAGCATGATTGCTTTAGTACGTATATATTCGTATGTGACAATAGAACTCTTTCGACAATCAGGTTGCTAGTCTAGTCTGTATTTATTGGTATTGTATATCAACTTTCTGAATAATGTGACGCACATAATAGTGTAAGACTGTATTTATTGGTATTGTATATCAACTTTCTGAATAATGTGACGCACATAATAGTGTAAGACTGTATTTATTGGTATTGTATATCAACTTTCTGAATAATGTGACGCACATAATAGTGTAAGTGGGTGTTCTAAGCTCCTGTACACGCACGAGGAACGATAGGCTGGTCACATGACCTCAGTAGTATGCATTACGGGAACAACCAATAATTTCGGTGAACATAATTATTTAATACTACTATACTAAGAAAAGAATTGTTGACACTTAACAACACAAAGAAACCAGTTAAACCAATATATATATATATACATGTGGTACAGGTATTGGATCTCTTGAAGTTTTTTGGTAGTTTGTCCCAACCACCCACACATTCACAGAAACGTGGATTTAATAGCTTGACCAAAGTAGATCATTGCTGCTTGCGGCTGTATTATTATTTTTACTGTATCCAACTGTATCAAAAGCCAATAATGTCTGCAAATTCCGATTTTTTCATAAGGGCGAGATGAAAATCAGATATAATTCAGAGTGACGTCAGATATGTAAATTAGATAAATAGTGAAATGAGTGGGTACATGCATAGTTGTATTCGATAATTGGACGTGAATAAATTTGTGTGTTTGCAACTGGAATTGTGAATATGCCTCATAATTTATCATAGACACAATGTAGCCTAGTTTGCTCGTTTATTTTGATGCCAAGCAATGAGAAAATTTGACATTTCAAATTTCTAATATTTAAGAGATCATTGGCGTATAGTAAACGTTACAAGTAGTTGAAAGATTCACTGAGAACGAACGAAGAAAAACTGAAACCAACGGAAATCCATTCGTCATTCGGTACGTTGTCACCAATAGATGTACGGGAAATAATACATGCTTTACTTGGAACAGATGTTGCATTTGTCGAAGGAATCACAGACTGAAATTAAGATAGAAAGGATGATTCAATATTTTGTTAGGGGTATATTCGGCATTATTAGAATCAAATGCAATCCAATACGAAACACAGGATATGTAAAAAGCCTTTCGAAAATATATTTACACATATATGATATTTTCTGCATATTGATTTGCTTCTAGGAAGTTAAAAAACCAAATCATACACAATAAATAAAATTGACATAAGTATGTATCGTTAATATAAAAACCAAAATAACTTTGTGGTACCAAATAAATGCATTTTAATGTATATGTTTCTGCTACACATGCGCAGACCTATATTAGTGTAAAATGTATGTTTAGTCGATCAAATGCTATTATCATAAACACATACCGTGTCTTTACGCATTTGGTATGACAAGGATATTTTTTTTCAGCATTTCAAATATTAAAACTAATGAAACAGAGGTTTAAACACAGCTCGTGGTTTTTGAAGTTTATACATGCAGTTAGATTACATTTAGTTCCCATCGTATATGGAAGGAACCCGCCTGTTGAAAGTAAAAATTGGAAATAACATGAAGTGTTATCCTTACCCGCTGTCTCGCAAATAAACCCTTTCTCTCTGTAGTCGCAATAATCGTCATCCCACAGAAAATTAACCTTTTTCCTGAGAAGACACCAATTACAATTGCGCATTATAATATAAAACAAAACTTATTTTATTATTCATAATGCTGTTTTAAGGATGTAGTTGAGTTTTCAGAAAGTAAAATTCACACTAAATATTTGCATAGTAGAATTGTTTTAAACCATATCGAACTATATATTTTATGAAAGCACATAATTCACTCTAATTACAAATTTATGTTACTTTAGATATAACCATTATGTGGTTATGTGACTGTAAAAAAATCATTCATTGAAGATTAAAATGACTATTGTGAAGAAATTGATAGGGAAGGCATAATATTTTCTTGAAAAATGTAGAATAATACACGAGAAACATAACAGTCACAGCGATTTTAGATATAAAGTAAATATATATTACATCTACAATCCCTGAAAAAAGTAAAGAAAACAACAACTGACGAGTGCCTGCTTAGATGAACTCATTCAAATGGTCATTTAGATGTCAGAATTGAAACAAAGGTATTAACTCATTGCGATGCATTGTATATCCCCAGTACATGAAAACAGTAAACCACTGCATGAAAATAGATTTACATTGCGCTCACCTTAATTGTACGCAGTCCTGTCCTTCTGTCCTTTTTTTGGTATTGTTATTTGGTTCCTTTCTCGCCCAGTTCACGTAATCTTGACACAAGATTTTACCACCGGCCCACTCGTATTCGCCTTCGCTTCGGATGTCATTGTAACCAATCCAAAACCCAGTTTGAATGACATCGCCGGCACCAGAAGAAATTATGTGGCTCCGTATCAGATCGTCTGTTTCCTTATTTGGAATTCTAGCCAGGATTCCCCCAAACTTGTCTTCACAGAACGTCTGAGCATCGAACCAAAACATTTCATCCGTGAACAAGTGATATTGTACGGTATTGCCAGGTACACGATTACATACGGTGTCATACTGTGAAGCGTCTGAAAAGTAATATGAAGTTTTTATTAAAGTGATATTCACTAGAGTTAAAGTACTGCGTCAAATACAATTTGTATAATTTATATTTCCTGACAGTAGACTAAAACACAAGATACAGAATAATACGGGGCACTCTTCATGTGATTTTTGTTTTTGTTTGATATCAAGATCACGATGCAAAAATGAAATAGTATGTTCGGGGAGCTCGCTTCTGGTTTGAATATGGTACCCTTCTAGCGAAGTCGTTCAAATACAGACATAGAAATCTCTCAAATATTGAAAGTGGGCGGGGGATTCCAAAACCCTGATAGATAGGCATCTCAAATCCTGACAGAACCTCCGAACCCTGGCAGATACCTCTCAATGTGACTTAATTTAAACGAAGCTCCGTAAATTATAACTACATACTTTGCGCCAAAATGGGCGAAACCGATGAAAGAAGGATTACTGACACCAGACGATTCATTCTGATATTACCAATGTTATTGAAATCTGTAAGCAAAAATAGACAATAAGTCACATAAACGACTAAGATGAAATGTTTGTATTAACACCAACACATTACTTGAAATATCATGTTTCGACGACATACGTGCCATACTTACATATAAGCTGTTCGACCTGTGATTCGACAAAAGTGACGATGTTAGAGAATGGGTGAATCGAATTTATAGAGCGACAAACGTAATAAAACATCTGTCCCGTACATCCATCAAACATTGCAAGTACATATTTGGACAAGATAAACAGGAAGTAACTTGATACATATTAATGCATCTACACAATTGAAAACAATTTTAGAGTGGTGCATATTGTGAAATTAATATAATTAAAAGCATCAATTTTATAACGATACCTGTTTTTTATGTGCATTTTGCCACTTTAAAAGCATTGGCGTTGATAAAAATAGCTTGCCAATTTGTTCAATCAGTAATTTTTCAACAAATTTATTTTGGATAGTTAGAATACGCTATTTGTACATTTAGAAAACAATTAAATATTTTCTGAATAATAGTGAAGATAGAAGAACAAAATGATTTGCTAAACATGTATTTCCCCTGAAGTATTTTACAAATAAAGATATGATTAACCAATTAACCATTAACAATACCCGTTTACACACTAAATAAATGTTCATTCTTTAACAATCATAACTTTCAATTGTTACAATTCTCAGTCCGAAATATTTACAATTATTTCCATCAGACGGACCTTTTACCTCTAATGGGTAGTCCCAGAGGCACATTGACAGATGTGGTTGTGTTCCTCGTAAGAGCATCAACCCGCCAACATCAACCACTACCACTAAAAAAGGATTAGCTTGTACCAAGACTTCCTTTTTTTGAAATTTCTTTTTGTGTAAAAATAACCGTAGCCATGTTGTTTAAAATTTACCTTATTGTCGACTTCAAAAGCTCATTTTAATAAAAATAGATTGGATAATGCATAGGTCAAAAGGTGACATGGTGCTGGTCTGCTCCTTTCATCTCGTTTCTATCTACCGTGTAATCAGTTTTTGGTAATATTGAACAAGGCAGATCGAACACCATCATGAAGGAATGTGTGTATATGTGGTTGTTGGGCAGCGTGTTTTGGGTGCATCACTCAAACGGTACAGCTTTGACGTGACGTGGCGTGACGACAGTTCTGACTTAGAATATTGTAAAATATTTTAGCTGAAATAAATTTCAGCTGAACGGGTTTTTTGACTTTCTTTTCACAAATTATTGACGAGTTGGAAAACGCCAAGCGAAAATAAAGTACTTTACAATAGCATGCTGCTTATGTCCTGTCAGTCCCGTAAACTTTACATATGTGTTGCACTAAGCACTGATAAAAATGGTGTTTGCGTTTTGATATGATGACGGAAATTACAATTACCATCAATCACACTAGACATCCGATCTTTAATGACATGTGTATGTCTAACTATTGTGGGAGATCAGTTACATTTTATAAAATTGTTATAGATTTGTTCAGATGCTGTTTACAATAGTTGTTTTTCACGTAAGTGTTCACAAAATCAAGTGCCATTCTGAAATGATTTTGTGTTGCAAGCGTGAGAACCATTCACAAACACACAACCAATGACACGCAATGACTCGTAAGCAAATCCATTCTCGTCCGTAACTTGTCTATTCATACTCACTAACATATTCCTCGAAAATCAGACAAGAACACAAATTAAAGAAGAAACCTGTATACGTTCATTACCTGAAGCATATTATCCTTCCTCCAACATGGTCTAAATTTTACAAGATTATAAAACTCGTGGTCGGATTTGTGGAGTTGTCATTGTTTGTTGGAACGCCATACAACATATTAGAATCCTGGCTAGCTTGTTGCTACGAAAGCGTATGCAAATCATTAAATTCAGTCAAAATAGTGCTATACAACTGTACGTAGCTTAAAACAATCAATGCAAATTAAGTTTGATTTGACACCCGACCATTATTTCATTTCGACCATTCTGTTGAGAATTGTAATATGTATAATGTATAGAATGTATAACGCTTGATCATGGAGAAATGGGAACATATAATATAATAATATCTCATTGGTTATTGGCCTTATGTACAGATACAAATAAATACATAATAAATAAAAAACAAGTAAAGAAAAACAAATATAAAATCATAATACATAACATTTGCATAATTAAGTGTTCTTTTCAAGCACAAGTTGTCGTACTTGCAAACTATAAAACATAAATTTACCAAGGTTTAATTATATATGGGGTTTGATTCTGAAATAATGAAATAAACATTATCTCTGTGGGTGGGGAGTAGTAATACTGTGCAATAAACTTCAACCTTCAGTTATATTTGGGACAAACTAATGTAAAGTGGTATTCGTTCTCAATTACAGCCAAAAGGACACAACCTCTGGTTACGTGGAGTACCACTGACCCTACCCTTTTCAATTTGTATTGCATTGGACGAGATCCTTAATCTACATAAAGCATTTTTGTATATTGCAGAAGACTGACCAATGTTTGTGAGATAGTTCTCACATGTTAATTCATGTTTCACCTTACAATCAGTTACAAGTTTGGAACTTCTATTAATTTCAGAGCTCCAATCTTGTCTGGAAATATCAAAGCACCTCTGTTTAAACAGTTTCAGGAATGCAATAGAATTACTTACATATTGGTCAATCCAAATATGTCCAAAACCGTATTTATAGAGAAGATTTTTAACTGTCAAAGTCCAGCAGATAGTACCTGCTCCTGCCATATTAAGTTGAAATTTATACGATTCTTTTAAAATATGTGGAAAAACATCACATCAACGAATAACTTCAACATTTACATACACTTTAAGATAATGCCGACCCAATTCTCCCACCACAGCGGAATTAGTGGCAACAAAACTAACACTTAGTAAATATTTGCAAAATTTATTGTGTACTTTCTCCACATCATTAATATCAGAATGTGTTCCCCAAATAGCACTACCGTAGAGGAGAAATTGGAGGATTTTACAATCAAAAATACGAAAAGCAACATCTCGTGGCACACCACCCAGATTCTGTAATTTTTTTTCCAAACAAAAAAGTGCTTTACTAGCCTGTTGAGAAACATATTTTTGTGCCTGGTACCACTTTCCAGAACTGGAAAGTATAACCCCCAAATAATTATATTTTGAAACAGTTTCAATGCTTTTACCCTTCCAAAACCATTTTTCACTGTTTTTTAAACTACCCCATTTCCGAAAAACAATAATTTTAGTTTTCTTAAGGTTCACTGTTAGTCTCCACTTTGAACAATAGTCTGACAAATTATTCAATAATCGTTGTAAACGAACAGGTGTACTACTAAACAGAGCCAGATCATCTGCATACAATAAGCAACACAATTTCAAAGCACACAGGTAAACTACAGTTTCATGACCTTGTTGAAAAGTTCTATGAAGATCATTAATGTAGAAACAAAATAAAAGAGGTGAAATCACAGAGCCCTGTTGCAAAGAGTACGTAAAATGAAAACATTATCTAACGTGCTTCTATGTTTCTGGAAACCACTTTGTTCTTCCACAATTTCATTATAATGTTTTAACCAGGTATTTAACCTATTACTTAATATACTTGTATACATTTTATTTATGACGTTTAATAACATAATACTTCTATAATTACTGGGTTCATCCTTGTTTCCCTTCTTGTATACAGGCGATATTAATCCCCTACCCCATTCATCAGGAAAGATTCTCTGGTCGAATACCTTGTTGTATAAAACAAATAACATTTCATGGATTTCTATGGGAGCATTTTCCCAAAATTCTGTGGGTATGCCATCTGGTCCTGGGGCTTTATTTGTCTTTAATTTACTAAAATTTTCCCTAATTTCATCCAAAGAAATAGGCCTATCAAATTCAGAAACATTAAATTCGTTATTTAACTCCACATTATCTTCTAAATAAATCCATGTAGTTTTTGATTGATGCGAAAACTCTTGTTTGATTTTCGTCCTCCATCAAGGTTAGTGGGTTACATAAATCATTAAAATAGTTAAACCATTCAACCTCTGATATATTGTCTGGCACATTGGGCCTATTGGATTTCAAACTCTTCCAAAATTGTTTTGAATTAGGTTGTATCGCCATTTTTAAAAATTCATCACGTTTTTTCTTTGATAATTAGTTTTCTTATCACGAACTAGTTGCCTGTATGAGTATTTAGACTGCAAATAATAGTCAAGGTAGCCTGACTTCTACAATTTCTGAAACGATTCAATGCTTGATCTACTTCTCTTTTAGTAGTACAACATTCATTGTCAAACCAGGAGTTTAAATATGACCTGCCAACATAATTAGGTTTGTGCATCATATGTGTATTATAAGCATATATAATATCAACTAAATTATTTGCAGCATTGCTTGCATTTCTCTGCCTAATATTATCATGGAAATCATGGCGCATCCCCTCAACGTGTTTTAAATTAATATTATTATAATACTTTGGTTTTTCCCTTGGTGTCCCACCTTAGTTTAGTAGTAGAATAATTGACACTATGCTGGAAGTCATTGACATTCGCAGAAATGGAAACATAAGCAAGTGATATAGCAAATTCAAGTGGCATATGATCAGAATCAACCCGAGCTCCAACTGTAAATACATTCAACAATGGGAACGCATTTGGAAATGTTGGGTGGAGGATAGGGTCGGGAATCATCGCTTGGAGAATACGCACATTTGATATTGTGCGATTCATATTCAACTAGCATTCTGCTTATATCCAGTCAATTCTGCAAACCTTCCATATATTGTTCACTAGCACGGATACAAATACTGTGCTATTTGCTTGTTGATAATATAATTACCAGATTAATCACAATGTGCAACCGAACTTTTATGACATATCTGTGTCACTTTTGCAGGGAGTTTCAAAACATTTCATTAAATTGTTATCAATGTATCCTTATACTGTTAACATCAAATTCTTTTAACATGAGCGATCGATCACGCAATCAATTGTCTTCCGGAGTGTTGTTTTTGTAGTAGGTGTTTTTTATTTTATTCAATATGCAAAAATTACAATGACAAATTACAGACAAAACAACAATAAAAGTAAAATGAAAAACAGTTACAGATCATAATATTCAATAAAAGGCTCCCACTTCTTTAGAAACTTTGTTCTTCTGTTCTGAGATTTCGCAATGATACTTTCCAAATCAATGGTTTGTTTTACACAGGATTTGAAACCTACAATGTTTGACATAATGTGAAAATGAGTTCTGTGAACTAGGATAATCATTTTCTAACTGAATTCCAAAAAATGTATATAAATCTACAATCCCAAAATAAGTGATAGTAATCTTCACTAACCTCTTCACAAAAAGAGCATAGTAGAAAATCTTTGAGATTCCATGCATACAGAAGTTGATTAGAAGGCTAAAATTTCATAGTAAGCTTGTACTGGAAATTTCTAAGCTTTGTATTGGTTGTGATTTTATACGGGAGTGTACATACAGCTCCAAATGGTATTATAACATCCAGGATATCATGCCAGTAGTACTGGATACGTCTTGAAATTTCATCGCTTAAAAAAGGTTTCAGCAGCACAGCATACAACTCTTTATTAATTTTATCACCACTTAGCCATTTACAATTACGCATGTTTGGTTTACATACACATAATTTTTTTCCAGCACAACCAGCTATGAGATTTTTCCATTTTGAAGGAATGGCAGATTTTAACGGAAAAAAATTGTATTGGGTACATACATTCCCATATTGTAAAATAAACTGTTCAAATGCTAGAAAATTACAATTCTCATCAAGAAGGTCATTGATAAAAACAATACCATGCTCAATAAAACTTCTCCAAAACTATTGGTATGTTATTTATGCGGATATTAGAATTATTCCAAATGATTTCCTGACAAAGACTTTCAATCATAGGTTCTGATTCATTACAATTATAACGCAGCCATGCTGTAAGAATTTGTTTTAAGAAATTAGAATATAAAGGGTCCAATATTGTATGGTCCTTTCCTTTAAGGTGTGATAAATATAACAAAGAACCACCAATTTGAAAGCTTTCTAAAATATAGTTATAAAATCTTACTACAGAAAGAACTTTTCACATGAATAAGCCTTG